AAGACAACACAAATAAGTGAAATAACATCTGTGTTTATGGTTTGGGAGACAATATGGTAAAGATGTCAATAGATTTGATGTGACCCTATCAAAATCCCAATGACCTTTTTTTGCAGAAATAGAAAATACATCCTAAAATTCATATGGAATCCCAGGGGACCCCAAATAGCCAAAAAAATCTTGAAAAAGAACAAAGTTGGAAGACTCACATTTCCTGATTCAAAACTTACAAAGAATAATCAAAACAGTGTGACATAGACTAATGAAATAGAGAGCCAAAAATAAACCCTCAGGTACATGGTAAAATGATTTCTGACAAGAATGCCAAGACCATTCAATGGAGAGTGCAGTCTTTCCAACAAAGGGTGCTGGGAAAACTGAATAGCCACATGTAAAGTATGAACTGGGACCCTACTTCACACCATATACAAAACAAAACCAAACCTCAGAATGGATCAAAGACCTAAACATAAAGAATTAAAACTATAAAACTTTCAAAACAGGAAAAATCTTCATGACATTGGATTTGGCAATGATTCCTTGAATATAACACCAAAAGTATAGGAAACAAACAAATAAAAAACCAGACTTCATCAAGATTAAAAATTTTATGCATTAAAAGACACTATCATGAATTTATTTAACACTGCTACTGAACTATATACTGAAAAATGGCTAAAATGGTAAGTTTTATGTGTTTTTTTCCATCACAATTCTTTAAAAAAAATGTAAATCTGAAAAAAAAATAGGGCATTATCAACAGAGTAAAAAGGCAATCCACAGAATGGGAGAAAATATCTGCAAGTCATCTATCTGATAACAAACTGATATTCAGAATATATAAAAGACTGCCTTAGAACACAATCTCTGAGCATACAGCCTCTGTTTTTAAGCAACACCTACTAGTAGCAGACATACACTGGACTTTGCTGTATGCCTGGCACTGCGCTCAGTTTTACATGCATCCTAATAGCCTTATAAAGTAGATGCTTATTATTCTCATTTCACAAAAAAGGAAACAGATTGAGAAGTTCAGTAATTAGGCAAAGTTCCACAATGAGGAGGGGATTGAGCTGAGACTGGAACCCAGGCAGCCTGTCTCTGCAGCCCATGTTCTTAAGTACTCTACTGCTTCCAAAAATGCAATTCCTCAGCATCCACCTGATGTAATATGGTGTAGCTATTACAAATGAGCAGTAAAAGACCATGTGGCAAAAATGGAAAAATGCTTATGACAAAGCAAAAGAGCAGGATATAAAATTGTACACACAATTTTATTAAATCTAGGTAAAACATTTGAAAACAGATGGTAGAAAATATGTGCCACGAAAACAGAAATTCTGGTAAAGCAGTCAGATTATGGGCTGCCTTTCTTTTGTTTTATATTTCAATAATGAGGTTATATTGTGGAAACTTCCCTTTTCCCTCTTTTAATTAAGCCCTCAGATTTCTACGAGGAAGGCTCTAGAAACACGTAGCATGAAGAATAACGGTATAGAGCATTTGAGATCTTGTTTCCCATAAATTTTGTTTGGCTCAAATAAAATCAATCAATCGATCAATCAATCATGCCAAGTCCCGTGTTCAAAATTAAGCAATACTGCAGGTAGGATGGAACCAGGGTTGCCTCTGTGAAGGAGCCAGGCTAAATCTGGCAATGCTGAATTTTTGCAGAGGGCTTCGAGAAGAGGGCAGCGCTTGAAGCAGGGGCTTTTGTTAATTTTATTTCTTTAGTTCACAGGAGAATAGTATCAAACTAAAATAATATCCCCACTGCTCTAAATCAATGTTTTCCAAGTTTCAGTCATTCCCATAACATCGCCATGATTTTTACTCCATGTGTTTAAAACCTGTTACATCTTTTGCTAAAAATTTTATTACTTTCCTTTTTACTTTAAAAAGTTTTTCTTAAAAAGGAAACTATACCACAACTGTAAATAGAAAACTTGCATCCCTTGCCATATGTAGAAGTTAACTGTAAAAATAAATATATAAAAAAAGACAAAACAATGTTTCAGCTAGATACAATTTACTGCCTGCTAAAGGAAGTAGCTGAAAAGGAATAGGGTTAGAAGTTTGTTTTCACAGGAGGCAGTTTAGATTTTATTTAAAGTATAACGGGAAATCATTGAAGAATTTTAAACAGGAAGAGATACAGTCTGATTGGATATTTTAACACTTTCTGGGAAATTAAAAAACATTAAAAAAATGAGAAAAGATAAAAGTGAACAAGTGAATAACACCATCCACTTTTACCTAATTAACAATTACAAAACACTACACTCTATTGGAAACTTCTGCACTGTTAGTACGAACGTGAAATGGTATAGTCACTATGAAAAACAGTACAGTGGTTCCTCAAAAACAAAAAAAATCACAATAGGATTACCATATCCAGCAACTCCACTTCTGGGTATACACCCAAAGGAATTGAAAGCAGGGTCTCGAAGAAATATTTGTACAACTGTGTTCATAGGAGCCGCAAGGTATAAGCAACTCAAGAGTCAACAATGAATGAATGAATGAATGAATGAGCAAAAATATGGCCAATACATACAGTGGAATATTACTCAGTCTTAAAAAGGAAGGAAATTCTGACACATGCTATAATATGGATGAACCTTGAGGATATTATACGAAGTCAAATGAGCCAGTCATAAAAAGACAAATACTATATAATTCCACTTGTACGAGGTTCCTAGAGAAGTCTAAATCACGGTGGTTAGCAGGGGTGGGGAGAATGAGGAGTTATTATTTAATGGGTACAGAGATTCAGTTTTTCAAGATAAAAAAGTTCTGGAGATGGATGTTATTGATTACACAATAATATGAATTTACTTAACGCCAAAGAAATGCAAACTTCAAAATGGTTAAGATGGTAAAATTTATGTTATGCATATTTTATCACAATTTTAAAAAACCACAAACACTATACCCAAAGGTTGCAGATTTTGGCTTACGATTCTGGGTGAATAGAGATCTATTCATTGAGATATGGCAGAATGTGGAAGGTGCAGCTTTGGGTAGGAAAATTTAAAATGTTTTGGGGTATGTTAAGCTTGATGTCAACTTGACAACTGGAGATGTCAAGTAGGCAGTTGAATATCCAAATTTAAGTTCCAGAGAAAAAGTGAGGGACAGAGTCACAGATTTGGATTTTAAAAAGGATACAAATAATTTAGGGGACTATTAGCATATAAATGGCACTCAAAACCATAGGACAGAATGAGATTACCTAGGGGGAAAGTAGTTAGAGAAGAGAAGGGAGTAATAAGAGCCTTGGAGCACTCCAACATTAAGAATTAAGGCAGAGGGTGAAAAATCATAATGAAGAGAATCAATAAGTGAGATAAAGAGCTTAAAAAAAAACTCAGATGCTCAGACCCAGGCCCTAAGAGTTGGAGGGCAAATGTGTATTTTTAAAATCTCCCTAGGCCAGTTCAAAAGTCTGAATAGGAAATGTGAGGGGAGGCAAAAATAGAATTGAGATACTTAAAAGATACCACCAACAGGATTTGATGACTGATTAAATGGGGGATGGAAAGTAAATGACATATTGGTTTCTTTCATAGGAGACTGGCAGGTTATTAATGTCATTAAAAAAAGAAATACAAGATAGAAGGATAGAAACAAGGTTTTTGATTGTTTTTATGGTGCTGGGGTTGAAGGTGGGATATCATAGATAGGAAGGAGGGTTAAAGACAAGATGATGATAGTCATGACAGCCAACAATAATTAAGCAAGGAGCACTGTCATCAAAGATCAGAACAATTCCACTTTGAAAATTAAGAAACTGAAGTTAGAGAGCCCAAAATTACATAGCTGGTAAGTAGCACAGAAGAGTTTCAAGTCTAGGTCTGATGGACTCTAAGCCAAAGTTTGAGGTACGTGTGGGATACTTGTTGGGAATATGGAAGTCATCAAGGCAGCTAGTCTTAGAAAAGATGTGATCATCCAGGAAGAGAACAGACATATCAATAAGTTATCATTCTTGTATAAGCTATTATTCTTGTAATTGATTCTTACAAAGTTACGATGGGACTTTTCCCTCACCTATAAAATGAAGTTAATACTTATTTGTAGATAATGTACACTGAGGGCAAGGACCTTATCACAGTTTTTGTATTCCTAGGTTTGTAATGCCTAGAACAAATTAACAGAAGCTTTAAATAAACAAAACCCTAAAACTTAATACTTGGCCACAATTAGAAAAATACTACATAATATAAGAACCACTATTTCCTGACCAAACAATAGTTTTTTTCATTTCTTCTCTGTGAAGCATGCTACAAATTACAAATCTGCTGTTTTTCTACACCACAATGTCTATTTTATAAATTCTTCTGCTATAAGTAGTAGATAGGAGGTAGAACTCAGTGAGACAGGCACCCATCCACTGCTGGGTACAGATAAGTACTTTCTGGAATGACAATTTGATAAAATTTATCAAGAGCCTTAAAGCCCTAACTCAGTAATCTTATTTAGGAATTTATACAAAGAAAACAATAAGATATGTGGCCAAAAGTTTAGGTTGGAAGTTATCAAAAATATCCAACAATAGAAAAATTATTAAATAAAACACCATACGGCCATAGGGTAGAATATCATATGCTGCTCTTAAATCAAGTTTTGAAGAACACTTAAAGATATTAGAAAATGCTTTTGATAAGTATAATAAAAAAAGTAAGATATAAGCTATATCTAATATGACCATAATTTTGTTTATATATATATGTAGCATCATATATACATGTGTGTATGTATGTGTGTACACACACACACACACACACACACACACACACACACACACACACACACTCTAATACCCAGAAAAAAGATTAGAATATACCAAAAATACTATAAGAGTTTCTCTGGGTAGAAATATTACAGGAGATCCTAATATTCTTTACATTTTTCAGTATTTCCAGCGTTTCTATTAAAAGTATACATTTTCATTTTAAAACAAAAAAAAATGTGATAAAATGAAAGATAACACTCACCTTCTTTCTTTTTCTGGAAGAATTCTTCGTGGGGTCAGGCTTCTCAAATTCTGCTGACTTTGCCTCTTCCTTCTCCTCTTCCTCATCAGGTATCAGGGAGTATTTGGTCCCACCTGGTTGCATGAAACAATCCTTTGCAAAGTGGCCTGCAAAAGAAAAGTAGAAAAGGTAGGGAGGGAAGAAGCAGTCCTTCCTCTAAGCAGATAGATCTTCCCCAGAGGCTCCAGAAAGGGGCTAGCTGATTCAGGAGATATTACTGAGTTCATTCAGAGCAGTTGTTGGATTCAGAGCAGATTTTCTGTCACCTCAGGATGGCAATGCTCACAACGAGAGCCAGACTAGTAGCTGGTCCTAGAGCTGTGGGAAATACTGGGGCTGCTTTGAAAATGGCAGAGGATGTGAGGATGCTGGCTTATGCTGCCTTCTATTAGCAATGGGGCTTAGTAATTTTTAAAGATCTATTTGGAACTTATTCCTGACAACAAAAGGCTGCTCCAAAGAGCAGAATGCTTAGCAGAGGGAGCCGAAAGGCAGGCCAAGGCCCTGAAGGAAGATAGCTCTTAGGCAGCTGGCAGGAAGGCAGCATCCAGGCTAACAGATAGAGAGACAGGCACAGTCACCTAGGGGCACTCAACATTCACAGACTGTCTGGCAAGGGCCTCAGAGATCATCAAATCCAACACTGCATCTGCAGAGGATATGAAGCCCCAGAGAACAGAAGTAGCTCAAGGTCACACAAATAGCAGCAGAGCTAAAACTTACCTGGCGTCTTCTGCCTCCCTGCCCTGTGCATTTTCTGCTGCACCAAAACCAACCACCTTTGGCCCAACCTTTGCTGACTGGGCCAAATTCCATCTCTCATTATTCTTCTCTGCCTCATGTAACACCTGGTGGACACAAGTTGAAGGTAAGATGACCCTACCCTCCCTGAACCTATAGTGCTTTCAAGGGCCCTTTTAACAGATGCTACAGAGCTGGTTTTGTCTGAGCTTGTTACAGATCCTGTCTCAGAGGCACAAAGAATTTGATAAGATTATAAAAACAATATGTAAACCAATTTGCAACTCTGAGTCCAGAAGCTGGATGGTGCTTGGAAGGAAAATACAACATAGAATTTTCCAAATATCTCTAATCTTCCCATAATTACCCGGAGAAGGTATTCTTCCTTTTGATTTTATTCTTCCCTTCCTCCGTGTTAATGATAAGTAGGGGACTTAAACTCCACAACCTCAACTAGTTGTTGTAGAAAAATAACAAACTGGGTAGATGGAAGACTAGGGAGAAGAGGTGATGAATTGAGGTCACTCTGAAAATGAGAAGCTGGCAATCCCTCTCATTATAGCTCCAACAAGGGAAGTCAGGCTGAAAGAGCTCTTTAATAATTAAGGCTACAGGAAACCTGAGGAAACAGAGCTAAAAGGAAGTGACTAGTGTGTGTTCTTTATTACTAAAAGGATATTGTATTCACAACTGTGAAATTAAAGAGATGAGCAAGAAAGGATTTAACTTGAATCCTTAAGAAATATATTTCTAACTGGCTTAATTCTTGCAGCAGAACAATAATAAGATCCTTTAATCCTTGGATATAAAATTTTAGAGTGTTAATCATAATCTAACACTCTTACCTTCTTAGCATAATACGTGAGGCCTTGCCCAGGTAGGGCATCAGCTGCAGAGAGTGGGGAGAGGTGGTAACAATATAGTATCACCACTAGGGCCAGCAGCGGGGCTGGCATTCAGAAAAGGAAACAGAAAAAGCAGCAAGCCATGAACTCTGATGTGAGTCTAGTACAAATGACATCACAAGCAGGTGAGGCCATCGCTTGGTTAAAAAACAGAGTGAGCTAAACTCACACTAGGCTGTCTCCCTCATCCTGCAAAGGGTCCATCAGCAGGGAAAGAAGGAAATGACAGAGGCTTTGATTTACCTTTACAGCCACACTTCTTGCAGGTAGTGTTCAGGACAGCCTCAAGGGTGATCTTCTGCCCAGTGTAATCCTGGAAGGACCGCCTCCGCCTCTCTTCTTGCCTGTAATGAAAAGGATTCTGACTGTTGGCCCCCTTAGGAGATGTGGCCAGAGATATTGCAAAGCAATGCTGTACACTGGTTTTTTGTTTTGCTTTTAGCAGATACAGGGGAGAAAGGAAAAGCACTGGGCATAAAGAGACCAGTAGTGAAGGCAATGACATGAAATAGACATTCTTTTTTACTCAGGACAAAGCTCTGAATTAATAATCATGAATAAAACTAGACTTCATCTCATTGATGCCCAGAAGATAAAGATATAATTACTCATCTTGCTAAGCCACCTACAATCCTTACAAGGTCACTCATGGGTTTAAAAGACCTTCAAAGATTTCCTGGAAAATCAAGTCTAAATTCCTTACACCTTGGTATTCGAGGCCTTTAGCAGTCTGCCTCTAACCGACTTTTCCAGCCTCATCTTTACTTGTACAATACGCTTTAGCCAAACCAGACTATTTTACCTTCTCCAGATGGTTCCCTGCTTTTGCTCAGGTAGTTCTCTCTCTGAAATGCTCTGCTTTCCCTCTTTACTCCCACCTCACCACCTCACACAAACATTTCAAGGCTCATCTCAATTACGACCTCTCCTTCTACTAAGTCTTCTTCCCTGAGTCCTTCAGCCAGAATTAATCTTTGTTCACATTCCAAGAATACTATTTAAAAATTCTAAACTTCTGACCAAATATACATACAGAAAACTGTTCATAAATATACAGCTTGATTTTCACAATTTGAACATACCCAGATAACCAGTACTCGGATAAACAGATTATTACCAGCACCCCAGAAACCCCTCTAGTTACCATGCCTCGCCCAAGGGTAACCACTGTTCTAATTCCTAACACATAGATTGGTTTTGTAAATCATATAAATGGAATCATAGAATATCGACCCTTCTGTGTCTGGCTTTTTATGCTTGTTTGTGCAATACATCCATATTGTGTGTAGTTTGTTCTAATTTGCCATAAAGTATTTTGCTGTCGGTGTAAAGTATTTGATGTAATCTCTATTATGAACAGTGGAACTACTGGGTTGTAGGGCATCAGCTTTTAGTAGATACTGCCAAATAGTTTTCCATAGTGTGTTTACCAATTATACTCCTACCAGAGGAGCCTAAGCACCCCAGCTATCAAGTGACTGTAAATTGCAGCTTAAACAAACCCTTTTATAATCAATCCCAACATTCTGTGGACTCTATAACATACCATAAGCCAAATCATACCTCCAGCTAACACTTGAATCCAACAAATGTGTCACTTACCACCTGTCTCCCTTTCTGCCCTCACTGACATCATGTTAGTTTAGGTTTCATCACATTTCACCTAAACAGTAATAATCCCTTCACTGGTCTCCCTGCCTCCAATTCTCCTCTTCCAATCTATCTAGTACACATAGTTGGATTAATCTTTCTCTTTTCAGTTCAACTAATAAGCTGCAAGCACCGATGCTAATACTAGTGATATGACAAGTATATTAAAATGATAGGACACAGTCCTTTTCCTCATGGAGCTTATAGTCTAGAAGCAAAGGGAGACATATAAATGGATAATTATAGTGTGGTGACTCATAAATGCTCTTTCTGAAGACTATACTATGCTAGCTAAACCTAATGGAAAACTGGCTTTAGCCTCTTTCCGTTTGTACAATCACTTATTAGATGACCTTGTTAATTCCTTGAGGCCTGAGGGAATGAAATATAAGAAAGCTAGATTTTGATGGCAAATGAAAGGAAGCTAACTGTGGGTGACTAAAGACAACATGAAGGTATTGAGCACAACAGGGTGAGGCCAGAGTATGGAGCCTCTCCCACTCAAAGGCTAAACAAAATTCATATTCTTTGACTGATATTCAACTCTTCCTCTTAAAGCTAATTCCTAGAATCCTTTTCTTTAAATCACTCTTTTAGCATTTCTTACATGTTGCCTTAAAGTTATTTGCATAATTATTTCATTACACTAGGCATTAAGGTCCTTAAGCAGAAACCTTGGTATTGCCACTATACTTCAAACAGTATATAAACCCAGTAAATACTTGTTGAATAAAGAGTAAATGGATGCACTAACTAAATGACTGCTATATATCAGGTGCTATAGGTCACAGTGATCTCTGACCTTTCTGGCACCAGGAACCAGTGCTCCTATGAGAATCTAACGCCTAATAATCTGAGGTGGAGCAGAGAGGGTGATGCTAGCACTGGGGAGAGGCTACAAATACAGATGAAGCTTTACTGCTTGCCCGCCACTCATCTCCTGCTGTGCAGCCTGGTTCCAACCAGGCCACAGACTGCTACTGGTCCATGGCCCAAGGATTGAGGACCCTTGCTATAGGAGATAAGAAAGACAAGATGTGCTCCATGTTCTCATGGATCTTATATATTCTTTCAAAGGAAAAGGTGTGATAATCTCAGATATTAGAGAAAAAACAAAGAGACATTTTATAACAATAACTATAAGTAGCTATTATATATTAAGTTTCTACTATAGACTAGACGATAAGCTAGGCTTTTATAAATGAGATTTCATTTAAATCATCCGACTTTTCTGAGCTGTAGGTGTCATTATTTCCATTTTATAGTCAAGAAATTGAGATTCAGAGAGGCTAGGTAAGCTGCTCAAAGGCATATACTAAGTTTGGGCAGAATTAAGACTCTTTCTGATTCAAGTCTAACTCTAAAACATGCCATCTTTGCACTGTGCCATGCTCCTTTCCTGGATTTAGCTCTAGAAATAATTTACAACAAAAGTTGTAGAGACATGTCTAGTGTAGAACGAACCAGAAAGCCCTTTCCCTCCTCTACCCTCATTTTGAGAAAGAGAGGCAGCTCTTTCATCTTACTTTTTTTATTTTACTCTTACAAGGGTGGCTTTGGGAAATTTCATTGCTTTTTAATGAGTCTGTACAGCATAGGATTATTTGAAGCAGAAGCAATTTATTATAGTGCAATTAGTAAATGTCAGAACTAGGCAACATTTCTCAGTTCTGAGTTATAAAAGATTTCCACCATAAATGGAAAGTGTTTTGTCAATAATCAGCCCTACCAACATGTCAATATTTACAGACTAAACTATAGAAATAAGAAAAACTCTGTAAGTCACATGCAACAAGTAGAAGTATCATGTGGTGAAAGGCATTAGCTTTAATGTCAGGGAGACCTAGAGTCAAGTCCCTGAGCCACTATAATTTGCTATAAAACTAAGTTATTACCAAGCATCGAGCCAGAAAGAAACTAAGGATATAAAGTAAAATGTATATAACACCTACTTTGCAAGTTGTTAGAATTAGATAATAGTACATAAACTGCCTTGTATAATGCCTGGCACAGAGTATGTATTCAATAAATATCACTTTCCTTCCTTTAAGGTAATGTTTCTTCATATCCTAAGTTGATTGCTGAAAACAATAAACATAAGGGCTTCTAAACTTTTCGCTACCAAGATCTCACTCAAACAACATTTATTTAGTTTTTTTTTTAAATAAATCAATAACTGCCGCTGACAGCACCTGATTAGCATGAGATAAATGATGTGATATTTTATCATCAAAAGCAACAAAATAATGTCGTGGTCAAACTGAAGATAAATGTATGGTTTTGGTTGGCTTTCTGAAACACTGGAAATAGTTATTAAACCCCTAAGATTCCTTCAAGGAAACCTTAGGAATCTAGGAACCCCTGGTTAGAAATCAGTCATATATTCAAAAAAGACTTTGAGACAGAGGGCAAATTCCCTGTATCCCTGGACATTATCCTATATAGACAGAAAATTTTGCATTCTTAAATGAAAAGTCAGAAGAGCCAATGAAAGTAAGGTGTTGTGTTCAGAACACAGTGTATCCCAAGATGCAGGCGTCTAAAACCCACTGGAGTTGCTCCTAGACTACCCTACCTTCCCATATAGTCTTTTTCAGCCCTAGTGATGGAGAGAGGCAAATAACAGGTACCTCATGAATGCTTGTTGGCTAACTGGTTAAAGGGCAGAAGCAAAAAAAGAATAAGGGGAAGGAAATAAAACCAACGATGGAGCACTTCTATGCCAGGAGCTTTGCATGTTAGCATTTCATCTTAGAACTCTATGCAGTATAATGTTACCTGTAACACTTCGAACCTCTAAAAACCAAAAAACACATGGTTATGTAACTCTAATATCTCAGTCTATAAAAAATGGTAGAGTTCCCAGGTCAGCCTGATTCACTTTATCATTCTGTGGTTTGAAAGGAAAGATTTTAGCCTCTCCAAGCCTTTTACCTACTCAATGATAACGTTGTTGGGATCGAGGTCTTTCCCAGTCCCTTGGTTGACAACTTTCATGGAGAGGGATACCTTTATCCTATCATTTTTCATCTGAAAAAGACAAAAGCAAAGTCACCAAAAGCTCGAAGTAGATCATTGAGACTGCTGGTCTAGAATTATCTAAGAAGTGAAGTTTTTGTAATCCTAACAAACACTGAACACCTCTAATAGCCAAGGTCCTGTGCTAGGATCACTGGGCTGGGGCCAGGGTGGGGGGCAGGGGGGAAGGATGGGTTATTAATAAGCATAATGGGCAGATCTTGCTGCAGAAGAATTTTAGGAAATGGTTTTCGTCTCATTTTTGTACCTACTGGGGTAAAAGACAAAGACGATTGTTCAGAAATCCAAGGTCTGTGGAAGTAACCAGGCAGAAAAGTAAAACTGTTTCTTCTAGGTAAGTTCAACATAATGATTGGTTCAGAGATTCATGAGCCCAGAATGGGATTCAGAACATTCTAGTATACTCGATCTACTTTTGCACTCAGTATAGAGCCTCTTTAAACATGAAGACCATTGTTAGCCATGTTAGTCTTATTTTGCTTCTTCCAGCACTTGTAGCCCTTTTTCACTTCAGGGTCTTTGCATCAACTATTCTGTTTGCCTGGAATGTTCTCATCCCAACTTTCTATATGACTAGTTCCTTTTCCTTTGGGTCTCAGCACATATACCATCTCCTCAGAAAGACCATTCCTGAGTACTTTATCTAAATCTACCTCTGATACTGTTTGAATCCATTACAGCATTTATAATAATTTGTAATTATTTATAATTATCCTAATTTGTTTAATTTTCATTTGTCTCTTCCAGTTATATTCTAAATAAGCTCTGTCTGGTTCACTCTTATAGCCTTTAGACCTAATACATATTAAGCACTTAAATATTTTTGAATAATATCTCTTTCAGACCTGTCTCCCCTGTCATTCTCTGGGAGAAGGGCATGCCTCAGTGTATGTTCATACTTCTCCTATGGTCTGCCCACACTCACAGCCCTGTACCCTCAAGGGAGTTGTTAACAGGGTCTATCAAAGCTTTCTCACTTCCCTCATACTGCATGGTGCCAGAAATTAGGAAAAATGACTGGAAACCCTGTGTCCTTTTTTGTTTTGCTCCAAATTGAAGTGTACGTAGTAGGAATTCTTTGAAGTTTCCTTCCCTCCTTTTAGTTCTTTACTTTTTTTTCTTCACGTCCACCATTTGGATAAAATTCAGGGAGGGAGGTTTATAAACATGTACTTATTGTAGTTCACACCATCGCTTCTGAGTTTGTAGGATAGCCAGCCAGAAGGTTTAAATTCAGGTCAGATTATGGTGGCAGGATTCAAAACATGATCATCAGCCATAGTTAACAACATACACACACTTACCAACATGAAATACCCAGAAAATCTCAGCTTCTCCTAATCCTTTCTAACCATATGAAAGCTGCAGAGAACTTTACCTCTCGGCCAATAAGCTTCACCCACACTTTGTCTCCAACATCTACTATCTCCGAGGGCTTATCCACACGACAAGATGACATGTGAGTTCGATGGACCAGACCTGGGCACATGAAGAAGAAATAAAATAAAGCACAGGGTATATCTGGTATTTATACTCTAAATACAAGGTAAGGAGAAGATGGGAGCTGGGAATTCTCTGAAAAAAATGCTCATTCATTTAAAACCAAATTTAAAAAATTTGAGATCATTTTTATCCCTTATCAACAAATATTCTTCAAAATAATGCTCAATGTTAGTAAGATCTGATACAAAAATTATAGTTACATAATACTGATAAACATATAAAGGTAAAATTCTTTAAAAGCACTGGGCATAAAGATGTGTTTATACTTTTGTTGCTAGAATATCATCATTGGAATTTTTCCAAAAGAAAAAAATTCAGTAGAGGCAAAAGCCTATGGGTATATAAAAAGATTAGCAGTATTATTACCTACAAAGGTTCAAAATAAAAATTCTAAAACAATCTAAATGACCAATAATTGGAAAATAGCTTGGTAAACTGGAGTAAATCTATCCAAAGGAAGAGTAAGCAGACGTTTAAATTACAGGTACAGAAAATAATTATGATAGATGTTAAGAAAAGGAAATATAAATAAGGTGCCATTTTTAATCTATTAAATTACCGAAATATTTAGAAAATAACAATACCCAATGTTGATGAGAATATAGCAAAATAAGAAATATTGCTAAGGCTAGTTTAAAGTTTTAGAAATCATTTAGCAATGGCTATCAGTGGCTAAAAATATTTAATAAAATTAAAAATTATAGTAATAATTATTAAATAACTTAATAATGACATTCAATAAAATATTTATTTTCCTGTCTTTCCTAGGTCCTTTCCTGGGAGAACCATCTTTCTGACATTCTAAAACAAGCTGGTCAGTCCATGTAATTTGGTTGGAGCTGACCTAACTCCCAACTGGGGGCATATGACACAGGCTTAGTCAATCAAGGTACTTCATCCCCCATCCCCACCACAGTAATTGTTTCAGGGACACAGACTCTTTCTCAAGACTTTGTCAAGACTATAAACTACAAAGTTACCAATGCCGATCTTTACCACCAGGTGGCAAGAGTCAGCCAGAGGGAAGCAAAAAAAAAGCATCAGTAATCAAAAGACAAAGTCCTGAGGTTGTCAACTGAGCACCTGATACAGCCCTGATGGAAGCTAGATTTATCCAGCTCTCTCCAGCAAAATTAAGAAAACATACAACTGTGTTTCTGTCCCTTGCACCAAGAGTTCTGACTAATAATTAATTTGATCTATAATTGCTTCTGGACTCTGTCTTAAGAAAATAATTTTATATATAGAAAAAGCTATATGCATCTGGAAAAGCAATCTACATTAAAAAAATTTAATGTATTTTTAAAACAGAAAAAAAAAAGAAACCACCTAATATCCAACATAGGGTAATGGTTAAGTCGACTATGGTATAGCCACTTAGTGTATTAAAAACATTCAAAAGATTATGTAAAAATATGTCAATAATTCATTCTTTAGTACTATTTATTGAGTGCCTACTATGTGCCAAACACTGAAGGCAACTAGCATTTTCCCATGTACATATCAAAAATACAATGCAAAATTGCATAATGATTACAAATGCTTAAAATAGCTTTTAAATATTAGAAAAAAATGATTTAAAATGCCATAACAGTGGTTAAATTAGGATTTTGGGTATACGTTAAACTACAGGTTAACTTTTTATTTTCAAATGTTCTGATAACAGAGAAAACTACATCTATTCTGAGGGAAGTAAATATAATAAACAATTATTTTGAATGAATATAAACCAGGCATTAAAACTACGGAAAAAAACCTGATAAAGAATTATATCTAAAATAACTACCTCCCTCAAGGTTTCTTGAGAGAATTATTAACCTTTATTCTCTGTCAATCTCTCTCTCACATACATGTATTCACACAGTTGTTGGCACCTGCCTGTAACTCTGATTGGAACGCCTATTAGAAGCCACTGCTTTCTCTGACCATGGTCACTGGGTCTCATGAAGCTACTTCAGCTGATTCTGGCGGTTGATAGCCTATCTCTTTTAATTTGCAAAATAAGCTAAATTAAGCTTTGCTTGTATGACTAAACTGGTTTTGTCTGCTCAGGGAATTTTCAAGGTTGGTCTGTTTTTCATTTTACCAGATGTAAATCATATAGCAACAATGGATGAAAGGAGGAAATAATAGACTTTTAAATTCTATTTCTCCTATGTATTTCTTAACATGCTATGTTGTCTATCTCATGACTGAAGTGTGAATTTAAAGCATATTACAATTGTTTATAATATTAATACTTCCACAGAAAATCTAGATTCTAAAGATAAATGAACCTACTTCATCTGATTCTGGAGGTTGATAGCCTATCTCGTTGAATAACTCTGGGGCCTTCAAAATGTTTTATATACGTTATGAAACCCACACTTAAAATTTCAGACCATCACATAATCTCCAAATCTGGTAAAATTCATGGAACTGGGTATTTTTTCCTTCCCTGTGATGGTGTAATGAGCAGACCAGCCTAACTGGAAATGTGGAGAGGAAATGCCCTGAAGGAAAGGGAAACTTTTCATTTTGACACTTTTTGGCTGCAACTGTCCTCTAATTCTAAAATTCACTTCTCTCTTCAAATGCTAATGGAAGTTGTGAAGGAAATGAATGTTGAACCTAATCTATTGGAGAGAACATCTTTTTTTCTTTCCTGAAACAGAAAATCTATTTATTGGAGCACCCAAAACAAAGAAATAATGGCATTAACCTTTTGCCCTTCTCCCACCCAATCCCAAAGCAGGGTATTTTTTTGGTCCAGGCATCTTGCCTGGTTAAACATGGCATGTCTCAAAATATTAAATAGCAAAAAATTAGAAACAATTTGAAATGATTAAAAGTACATCTGAATGACAGAATAATGCCATTTAATTGTTTACAAAACATTTTAAAAGATGGAGAAACGTTTAAGGTTCTTAAGTGTAAAAAGTTACAAAATAGAGTATAATCATCACCTTAATATGTTAAATCTTATGTACATATGTGACTATAAAGAAATACACCAAAATACTTACTGCCTATCTCTCTGTAGTAATATCACAAAATGATCATTTCTTTTGTAGTTTTCCCCCTTATTTTCCTATGATAAGCATGTAATCATAATAAAATGATATCTACACTAAGATTGAAATTATGTAAAACTATGTCTCATGGACACAGACCAAAAGAGAATATAAATAGTTATACTAGGGTGTAGGATATTTTATAGTTGAGACATTAATGGCTTATTACCAAAAAGCTTTATTACAGGATGAATTAAAAAAAGGGAAATAGTCTAGCCCTCAGTCTTAAAAGCAAATGTCAGGTAGGCAGTCAGATATGTAAAGTCTGTAGCTCAGAGGAGGTGTATAAACTAGAGATGTAAATGCAGGAGTCTTCAGTATGCAAATGCTTATATACTAAAATATATTAACCAGACTGTCAATTTAGTGATCAGTTCAGAAATAGACACAATTTGCCAATTTACTAATTTACAATAGAGGATATACTTTTCTTATACTTAAAGGTTCCAGTCTTTATCTAGGTAAACTACCTACTGCCCCAGTATCAAATACCGGAAAAATTAGATTTGTGATCAGAAATTGCTTCAACATAAAATCAGAACAAAAGGGAGACACATGTTTTGAGATACTTTTCCAGTCTACAAAGGTTTAATGGACTATCAATTCCTCATAAAAGAATCCATCTCTCTAGTTCCTGTCATCAGATTCACTTCTGCCCTAAATAAGGCAAAAGAGATACTGCCAACTTCAGGCTCTCAAGCTTTCTTTTACTACGTTCCAGGCTGACAATCTCCCACCTGCTCATCTAATCTCTTCTTAGACAGAACATAAGGCAATCAATTAGATTTCAGCCTCTTAAATTACAATTTCATTCCAATCCTAGAATTATACCCAGATTATTTTGTTGAAGTCTTGAGTGCTCTCATCTCTTCGGTCACAGATTTATGGGCAGTTACCTAGTATATTTCTATCTATGGCTAATCCTATCTTTTGTATGGGGGATTCATCATCATCATTTTTATTCTCAGAAGGCAGAATTCTGAATTCAGAATTCTCTGAATTCTGGGGAGGAAATTCATTGTTAGCCACATACACCACCAGCTGGATTAAATATATGGTGCAGGGCACCAAATAAAACATTTAAGGTCCCCTTGCTCTGTGCTTGGTACCTCATGAGAAACAGTGTATCAACTCATTCATTTCATCCTCACATCAACTCTGTGACATAGGTTCACATGAGGAAATAGTAGTCTACAAGTAACTTGTCCAAGGTCACAGAACTGATAAGAAAGAACTACAGTTTGAATATGAGTCTGTCAGGTCTCCTACATCATACTGATATTTCTACATTTTCTTCTTTATTATTTATCTGTATTATCTTTTAAATTAAAAAAGGAGAAAGATGATCTCACCTATAAATAATAGAAACACATCTAATTTTGTTTTAGCATATGCTGCAAAAAAAAAAAAAAAAAAAAAAACAACAGAAACAAAAAAACGCTTTGCTTGTCATGCCAGATGGAAGAAAGTGCTTCGGGGCAGTTTGTGCCTGGATTTCTGACATGAAGCCACAAATGCCTAAAGGGCATATGAAGTCCATCATCATGTTCAATAAACTCACCATGACACTTAAATGGAATGAGTTCCATCTGAGTGTCTGCTGATAAAAAAAAAAGTTCTGACAACTTACAAAGGGCTAGCATTTCAATCATCATATGAGAAAAACAGAGTTAGCCTATTACAGTTCCCTTAAAGTACTCTTCCAACTGCGTTAGGTTCAACTATAATTTCTTTCAGAACTTCTACTGACAATAAAGGAAAGAGGTGAAAATTATAAACCATTACAGGACAGCTGCAGCTAAAAAAAAAAAGTCAAAATAAAAGGTCTCCCTTTACTTTTGGGGGATCTGAATCTCTCTAGGCTTTTCAAATGAGTTATTTCCAACCAACGGTATATGACAATAATGTAAGCACATAAGTTAA